GGGGGGGGTGCTTTTTGGTTTTTGTTTTTGTTTTGTTTTTGTTTTTGTTTTTACTCCGTTTAGGTGGAAAGTGGAGTGAGGAGCGGTGGGCGTCAGGGGCAGGGCGGGAAGGTTTGTATTACAGCAAAACTGAGAGGCTTCTAATCTGAAATTACTACAAATGTTGGCGTGCAAGCAGTGAGTGCAAAGACTGCGTGGCTGTGAATCTCTTGAGGGGCTCTTGCCATAGTTTTTGAAGTGAAGGGCGAAATGCCCAAACCTCTATTACGATCAGTTGTCATGATTGCATATTTAACTGCATGCGCTACATATAACTGAAGAATCTTTAATATCTGATTTCAGGTCACAAAACTAATAAAGGATTGTATGTAATGTGACTTCTCTTCTTTCATCTTTTCGATATTTGATTCATAGTAAATGCTTAATAAATGTTTATGGAGGAAAAGACGAAAACACGGAGAAAAGTTACTCTGTTCTAATCTCGATCAGTCCCTTCATTAATCTCTCCATTTTCCACGGGGCAAGAAAAATGGCTTGTTTTATTAGTTTTCTAATAGGCCACAAAATGAAAATTATATGAATTTAAGTTTACCTTAATTTCCACTTGTATATAGCACAGGGACAGTCTGCAAGGTCAGCATTATTTGTGATAAAGAGTTAGGATAGAAATGCAAATGAGAACTCTCCTTTCTTGTGGCTATCCACTTGGGGCATCCTTTTATGTACGAAAACATTAAAAAATCATTGATTTATGAAGTACAAAAGTGAAAAGAGTATACTGTGGCACAAAGTAGTTTGCTTCAATCATTATTATAATAATATTACAGATAAACTTTATCCATTAATAGATAAAATAATGTACAAACTTTAATGTTTTTTAAAAAAATTCTAAATGCCTATTTAGGATTCCTTCTCTGAATCCACCAAAAAAAAAAAAAAAAAAAAAAAAAAAAAAAAAAAAAACAGTACTGGATGTGAGATAAGAGTACCAACTTCAAATTTTTATAAATAATACATTATTCTTTAGAATGTTATGAACAATGTTTAATTCATTGATCCCTCTAAGCCCCGTCCGCAGAAAATGTTGTATCAGTTTTGAAGTTAGGTTACCTGAGACTGAGAGAACCTAGTGGACCAATGAAAGAATGCAACATATCTTCCAAAAGACTGAGACTGAAAACCTGGGTTTAAGATAGGCATCTTCATGCAAACTTCTTATTCAAGACCATTTCCCCCAAAATTTATAAACTGATCAAATTAAGAAGTAGAATTGATTTTCACCTTATTCATTTAAAAGCTAACAGCGCAAAGCATTTGGAATTTAAAATAATAGTTCCTGGAAAATGAATTAATAGAATCTTCATAACCTTTATAGATGAATAAATAATAATGCCTCAAACCACTACTAATGAAGCCCATTTATCATGAGGGAAACGTCCCTCATGATAAGTATGGTACAGACTATAGAATCTCAATGAGGTGGACATATGATACATATGCATATTTATCTATGAATATGAGGTCTCCAATATTATCCGGTTATAATCCATTTAAATTTTTTAATTACATAAAATATTCTTCTAAAATAAAATGGTGTAGAATTTATACTCTAAATGAATCACCTTAGAATTCTTAATGAAATACATTGTGTGATACATTGCTTCTTAAAATAATTCCTTCGATGTTGATTGAACATTTCTCTTTAATCCCTTCTCTCCCCATACTCCTCTTGACTCTCACTCCTTCCCATAACTAAACCCTACAACCAAACACCAAACTGAACAAACCTCAAGTCCAGAATGTCTGTCTTTCTTCTTTCTTTCTTTCTTTCTTTCTTTCTTTCTTTCTTTCTCTTTCTTTCTTTCTTTCTTTCTTTCTCTTTCTTTCTTTTTTCTTTTCTTTCTTTTTCTTTCTTTCTTTCTTTCTCTTTCTTCCTAGAAACGCCTTTCCTTTTCTACCAGTTCCCCAACCTTTTCCCCCTGTTTACCTCTTCCCTGAGGTCTCAGCTTAAATAGTACTTTTCCTAGAAATCTTCAGCTTCTTACCAAAACAGGTGTTCCCATAGCACTCTGTGCTTACACATGGGCAAGGTTTATCACACTGGTATGTCATTGTCTCTCATTAGATTGTAAGTATGGCATACGACCATATGCACTATTCTGTCCCCAACATGGTGCCTACCCCATAAGAGAGAGAAAATCTCTATTTGTTGAGTGTTTACTACACATAAATATACTCACATTTGATGAACGTATTTATATGGAACAGTGGATGACAAAGCATCAAATCTGTGCTAGACACTGGGCTATACAATGAGTTTGCAGAGATGAGTAAGACTTGGTTCTTCAAAATTCTAATTAGGAAGAGTGAGAACAGAATCTGATCAAAACAAACTCAATCTAAAAGTGAAGGGAAAACAAGAAAGAGATCTACATATTAGAACAATTGTTTTGATGAGCTCAGCAATCAACACCAAGTACTATACAGGTGTACCTCATTTTATTGCACTTCAAAGAAAGATACTGCGATTCTTTAAAATTGAAGGTTTGTGGCCACCCTGCATTGAGCAAATCTATCAGCACTATTTTTTTCCAATTGCATTTATTCACTCTGTATCTCTGTGTCACATTTTGGTAATTCTCACAAAATTTCAAACTTTTTCATTATTATTATATTTGTTATGGTGATCTGTGATCAGTGATCATTTATGTACTATTATAGTTGTTTGGGGGGTTTCACAAACCATACCCAAGCAAAAATGATAAACACTATGTGTTCTGAATGCTCCACAGACCAGCCACTCCCCCATCTCTCTTCCTTTCCTCAAACCTCCCTATTTCCCAAGACACAACAATATTGAAATTAGGCCAGTTAATAATCCTACAATGGCTTCTAAGTGTTCATGTGAGGAAGAGTCCCACGTGTTTCACTTCAAATCAAAAGCTACAAATAATGAAGCTTAGTGAGGAAAGCATGTTGAAAGTGGAGGTAGGCTAAACACTAGGACTCTTGTGCCAAACAATTAGCCAAGTTGTGAATGCAAAGGAAAAGTTCTTGAAGGACATTAAAAGTGCTACACCAGTGAACACATGAATGACAGGAAAGTGGAACAATCTTATTACTAATATGGAGAAAGTTTGAGTGGTCTGGATAAAAGATCCAACCAGCCATAACATTCCCTTAAGCCAAAGCCTAATCCAGAGCAAGGCCCTCCCTCTCTTCAATTCTGTGAAGGCTGAAAGAAGTGAGAAGGCTGCAGAAGAAAAGTTGGAAGCCAGCAGAGGGTGGTTCATGCAATTTAAGGAAAAAGGCTGCCTCCATAAAATAAAAGTGTAAGGTAAAGCCACAAGTGCTGATGTAGAAGCTGTAGCAAGTTATCCAGAAGATTAGCTAAAATAATTCAGGAAGCGGCTATTTTCAACGGAAACTGCAGATTTTCATTGGAGACAAAACAGCCTTATACTGGAAATTGCCATCTAAAACTTCCATAGCTAGAAAAGAGAAGTCAGTGCCTGGCTTCAAAGCTTCAAAGGGCAGGATGGCTCTCTTGATAGGGGCCAATACAGCCGGTGACTTTAAATTGAAGCCAATGCTCATTTACCATTACGGAAATCCTAGGGCCCTTAAGAATTACACTAAATCTACTCTGTCTGTGCTCTATAAGTGGAACAACAAAGCCTGGATGATAGCACATCCGTTTACAACATGGTTTACTGAATATTTTAAGCCCATTGTTGAGACCTGCTCAGAAGAAAAGATTCTTTTCGAAATATGATTGCTCATTGACAATGCACCTGGTCAGCCAAGAACTCTGATGAAGATGTACAATGACATTAATGTTGTTTTCATGCCTGCTAAATCATTTTGACTTCCAAGTCTTATTATTGAAGAAATACCTTTTGTTAAGGCTTTTGCTGCCACAGATAGTAATTCCTCTGATGGATCTTAGCAAAGTAAAATTGGAAACCTTCTGGAAAAGATTCAGGATTCTAGATGCCATTAAGAACATTCACGACTCATGGGAAGAGATCAAAATATCAACATTAACAGGAGTTTGGAAGAATTTGACTCTGAGCCTCATGAATGACCATGAGGGGTTCAAGACTTCGGTGAAGGGAGTAAATGCAGATGTAGTGGAAATAGCAAGAGAACTAGAATGAGAAGTGGAACCTGAATGAGAAAGGATGAAATCCTGCCATTTGCAACAATGTGGATGGAGCTGGAGGGTATTATGCTAAGTGAAATAATTCAGTTAGAGAAAGACAGA